ATTTTGTTTTGAGCGAAAATCCATGGAAACCATCTCTTACGAGTTTTTCGTCATGAAGACCGAGGAAACCTTCGATAGCTCGCGCGCTGGAATCTGATATTTAGTCTTATAAATATCACAATTTTGTTTCCAATCTTCACAACAGTAAAATATTTAAAATTGTTTCTCCTCGAAAAGTAGTCAATCCAAAAATATAGAGCAAAAGTAAGAAATTTTCAAGCAAAAAGGAACTCGGTCGTTTTTCACAACATCGACTGGCGATGAAAGACGGCAAACAAGTGTGCGAAAAATATGAACCTTTATATTAACTAGACAAAGCCCCGTCCCATCTTGGATCAAAAAAGATTAATTTATGTTCGAAAAATAATCCCACCATACGGGACCGATGTTCATCTTTGACCCACAAACGTGTTCTGAGTCCATCGATATGACGTAAACACGCCGCTCAGTAGCACCTTTTTTGGCATTGCATTACCGTTTCATCATCCAAAAAAGGTGTAAAGATGCATCAAAAAACCATATAACTTTACGAGGAGGGCTGTATGCAGAAGGATACTGTAAAATTTCAAAGTGATCGACTTTCGCAGATTTCTATCTTCTCTTTCGGTGGGCCTCAGTTTGTGTCAATCTAAATTGTCTTGAAAGGTAGACAGCGGCTGTTGACGGGTAGTGAAATGATCAGTAAAATCATTAACACTAACTTTCAGACCGACTTTCTTCAACCGTTCAGAGTCTGTCACATTACGATTGCGAAAGCCGTCAGAAAGGCGTTCGATCAATGAAGAGAGTTACTGACAAGTGGAAATGCACTGGAATGCATTGTTTTATGCAGTGCAGTTTGTGGTGTCCTATCTCCTCGTACTCAGTCTCCCTCGATAATTTTTTTCAAGATGGAGGACATATGTGAGGAACTTGATCGGTTCACCTTTGAATTTTTTGACACTCTCGAATGTCTTCAGGAGAAAAGGGAATACCTGAATGCTTCAATAAGAGATGGATATCTAAACCTGTCAAAGGCTCGTTATTCGATGGGAAATAAATCCGTGGGTGCTTTGCAATATAGTCATAAAATGGACTGCGCGCTGTATCATGTAAGTTTATTTGGAGACATTTCTAAAGAGGAGTCCGAAAACGCTGTTGTAACGTTCGAAATGGAGAAAGCACTGCCAAGAAGAGCAAAGGGTACTTCAAAAACTGGTTATAATGAAAAAGAAGAAGAGGAAAACGTAGTCAGAAGAAGGAAACCTCAAAGATCAGGTGCTTCGAGCGATGAAGCAACGTCGCGTATCCAGGAATTGTATATCTCTAAAGAGGAAAACTTGCCTGTAGAAGATGAAAATGTTGATGGTTGTGTTCAAGATCCCCTTAAATGGTTTGGAATCTTGGTTCCTGGATGTTTAAAAACGGGTCAAAAGAATTTTCAGAGCGCCATTGAACTAAGCTGTGACATTGTCAACCTTGAAATGAAGGTGAAAGAGATCATAGAGAAGTTGAACGTTTTAAAAATTCGGAAGAAAGAATTGTTAGAAGAGAGGAACAAATTGCAAGAAATCGAAGACTGATTGTTACCTTACAAAAAAAAATGTTGTGATATCTTGGCCGATATATTAGCTCTTTTCTTTGTAGGATATCAAATGTAGGATATTTTCTGTATTAAAATATTCATGAGTAAGAGATCAGGTACATGTACCAACACAATGAGGGGTCTTCAATTGTTTTGTGGAGAAGTATCGCAGTTACATCAGGAATGAACTTATTTGATTTTGAGGTTGATTAGGGAGGAGCCAATTGTTCAGACAATATGGGATCTTAAATGATCTTGGAGAACAAACTAAACTTTATAAATTAATGAAGAGGGTAAATTTCTAAAAACGCTGTGGTGCTGCATCAGTGGGGGTTTTACCAGATGCTATTGTTTTATCAACTGAATTGATCATGCAAATATGCCACTTTAGAGAGTTTCAAATGTTAGCCCTTTGTCAGAACAAACATCAGGTTTCAATTAACTTCATCAACCAAATCAGGATAATATCCTTCCAAGCTGAAGATCTGGGATATTTAGTGGAATTTAACCATTTACTCCCTAACATCAGTATGCATATTCTCCATATTACTCCTCAGACATTTCCAAGGGTTCTGACAAGGAGAATTTGTTCAACAATCAAGAGCTTCTTTAATTGGTGATCATCTCCTTCATTCTCCTAACCTTAATGTTTGATTCAGGGATGATGTTGTAAGGAGAAATTAGATGTTAGTCAGTCTTAGAGGTTAAAGGGTTAAACAAAGAGCATAAAAGTGCTGGTAATTATGATTATGCAGTTTTCACAAATATGTGTTTGTTGGCTGACTTCAAATGAGTTAGTAAACTTGGAAAAAGTTTATCTCCTTGTTTTTTTTTATAAAATTATGGTTAACTTGATAACCTCTTAGGAGTGACTGAAATTTTATTCTTTCCTCACATTATCACCTGGTAATCAAACATAAAGTTCTTGAAAATAAGGAAATGATCATCAACCCGACTGTTTAACAAGTTCTCCTTGTGGGAACTATAGGAAATGTATGGAAAACAGCTTATGGTGATAAACTTTTAATCCCTAAAAAGATCACTCTTGATTCCTTAATGTTTATGAAAGCCAATCAATATTGATCCCAAAGTACATGTTTGGAAACCATAGGTATTTCAAACTATGTGGTGAATCATGCAGTATATTGCACTCAGTTGTCTTTGGCAGTATTTGTCCAAGGAACAAATTGTGTGTGGATTTTTAAGAAAAATCTGATAACAAGTTGGTAAACCTGGGCTAGTACAAGAACTATTCTCCTAAGTTGCTCTAATCCTGATTAGATGACTGGTAAGGAACACTGAAATTTTCTCCATATTATGCATCTCCCAAAATGGCAGAAACATTACTTAAATATTTCAGAAGAGCCAAAGGGGTTGCCAATAAAGCAATGAGAAAAAGCAATTAACATTCATTGAGTCAAGTCTTCTTGATGAGAGAGCCACAGATTAATCCAAAATGTTGACCACTGCTAGAGATTCAAACTACACTATACATGTGAATACTGCAAGACTTAGAAAACCATGAACCCATTGCTGTTTACAGTTCTCTCGTGCTCAATTGGCCTTCTCCTTGGAACACATCGCATCCCAAAAAATATCTCTGGGGTTCACAGTTTCCTCGGTTTTATTGTATAGAGGCCACTCCATTCAGGTTGAAAATCTTGACAAGAAAGAGGCTCTTCCTCCCTCATACCAATCCAACAAGACAAGTCTTAGAGATGTTTTTGTCGTGAGTGTGGGGCATGAAAAACATTCTGAGCCCCTTTTCTGATTTGGCCAACCCATAGGCATTCTGGTGCAAGTTGATAATAGTTAGATACATGTGAATAACTTCTTCCCTCCATATTGCCTTATGTTTTCCAGAGAATGGTTTCTATTTACTGAACATTTTGGACGAAATATGCACAAACAAAAATTTCATTTTAATGAATAAAAGGTAACCAAGTACACATTTATGTACAAATAAACCTTACACATCACAAACAGAACTCAAAATCTAAATAGAGCACCATTCATTATTTTCCTTCATTCTAATGTCATTCTGTTTCTTCCCTAAATTTCTGCATGAGCGTTATTCTCTTATTTCTCTTGACACCTCAAAACCAATCAGTAACTATCAAAACAGGGCTTACCCAAATCTCTTAGGGAACAAAAGAAGCTGCATTATTGATATTTCAAAATAGTGAAGAGTTCATCTGTTGAAATAGTGCACTTTTTAAAACATGACAAATACTCAGATGAAGTACATGTAACACACTCGGGTAAAGATGCAAAATAACCTTTTTTACAGCCTAATAAACCTCAGTAATGAAATCCTCAAAAGTTGCAATCTTACATTTTACAAGTCTTCCTCTGCTGTACCTATTTTAGCAAAATTCCTTAAAGAAAATAAGAGCCTTCAATCAGAAGCACATTTTCTGGCCTTTCATACAATCTTTTCACTTCCCAAAGAGGAGAAAAGTATGATGAGTTAGCAATCTTGAACCATGATTTCTTTTCTTTCTTCTCTTTGCTTTACAATGTTATACTATTAACTCTCAAAACCCTAACATCAGTATGCATATTCTCCATACTGTTCTCTATACATTTCCTTTAGTACTGACAAGGAGAATTAGTTCAACAATCAAAGCTTCTTAACTTGGTGATCATTTCCTTTATTCTCATGATTTTAATGAATGTTTGAGCAGTATCACTGTAGAGAGAAATTAGATGCTGGTCACTACAAGGATTTTAAGGGTTACATGTTTTCCATCATCAGGCTTGATATCTGAATTTACCTGAATATACCTTCTGTGGCAAAAGGTCAAAAGGTTGAAAAAAAAGTCACAACTGGGATTTGCTACTTTGGCAAAGTTTTGACCTTGATATCTGTATGATGTTCTTTATCTGTCTAAAGCTCAAGTTGTCTACAAGAATTTGCTTACAATGAATAACGTTTATTCTGAAGTGTGGATTTCATAAATTAAAGCTCAAGTTATTTCTTGGCAGCAGCTTGCTTTGCTTCTTCTGCTTTCACTTGTTCATGTTCCTTGATAAGTTCTTCCACTTCCCCTGCTTTTAGAATCTTGATGCTTGTTATGCCATTTTCCCTAGTCAAGGTGGACATTTCCACTACAGAGGCAAGAAGATGTTCAAATGAGTAAAGCATACTCAGTGGTGAGGTATTGTAGTTATCAACACAGAAAAGTACAAGACTTGCTTTCTAAAAACACTTCTCTCAGTATATTTAAGTTGAAAGTTGCAGAAGTAATAAATGATCTAGCAAACTTACCATTAAAACACACTTGCAATGTAAACTTAAAAAATATCCAACCAGTACAAAATAATGGCAGTTACAAGTTCCACTAAGTTTCAGGTAAGTTGTTGAGTCTTTTTTTGTTAAGTTTGTCAACTAACCTTTGTCTGGTGTAAGTTTTGTAATATCTAATGTCTTGTCTAGCACTTTGACAGCTAGTTTCAGAGCATCTTTTAATGTCATTTCCTCTTCCTTGTATTCTTGTTTCAGCATGGAGACTGCAGCCTGACAGAATCATAGGAAAACATTGTTTTATGTTGTTTTTGAAAAAATTGAATTTGATTGATTCAAAAGCCACTCTTTTCTTGAGAGATAAAGAAAATTTACAGACTGATGATAGATTATACTTCTTTCTAAAATACCACTCACCTGCGAGTACAATAAGCTGTAATAACCCTTACACACCCAAGTGATTTAAATGTATGTATGAGCTCTCTGAACAGTTTGTAAATTTTCAATAAGGCAGGTAATGAGAAATTCTAAGATCATGATTAACTAAGGGACATTGTCTGCATTTGACCCCAATTCATACAGCATAGGTTTAGTTCACAAAGAAATGTATGGCCACCAATAAGGAGATTTGACTTTGAGATCCTGGCAGTGAAATACTTGAAATGATACACAATTCCTCACATAAAAGAATAATGACTTACCACACTGTTATTTCCTATACATGTTGCCTTCCACCCACTGTAGTTGCCACTGGGATCACTCTGATACAACTGATAGCCATAGTGTTTATCCCAGCCCATGTACAAAATGGATACACCAAATGGTCGCAAACCTGCAAGCATGGACAAAATTTATCACATGGCAGGGTCCACAAGTAGGCACGCCAGGTGTTTTAGTGAATACTATTTTCTGACTGGCTCCTCAAGCATGCATGATGCACTCAATCAGCTTTGAAGGCAACTTTTCATTTTTTTTAAAATGAAAGCAGTTTTCCCCACAAGAGTTGCAAACAAGTTTTTGGACAGTAAAAATTAAGAAATTAAACCCAGTTTTGTGAAAAAAGGAACAGTTTCATAAACACATCTTGGGGTTTGCAGTTCATGGAGGTTTGCAAGGGCACTGCCATTGACTGATTCCCTTAAATTTGGCTTGAATACTTTGCTGGCTTTATTTCCTTCCCTCTCCTGCCCCTTAAAATCTTGGTAAGCATTTGTTCCACATGCTGGTTTGTCTGTGTTGTAATACCAGGCACCTAGAGGAGGGCATAGGCCAGCTTCATGCCATGGTCATCTCTATGCTGCTGGTAAGAATGCTGCCCTCTTGTATCCTTTGAAACCTTTGTGGAACCTACCCTTCAATACTATTGACTAAGTCTTTTAATACCAATTAAACTAACCTCCAAATTGTGTATATGCTTGTTTTACATCACAGAGTGAGCTGACAACCTGCTCGCATGGTATTGGTTCTTGGTATTGCAATAAATATCTGAGAGAAAAAAGCATTATGAATCAAAGGACACATAATGACTGTTACCTTCTGAACAAACGTAAATGTAATTTGTCCAATTGAATACTCAAGATCAGAGTGAAAAAAAATTTTTTTAAAAATATCTATTGAATAAATATATATACAGTAAAATTTACCTCTGAGCTATGAGTCTAAGTTGATTTGTCAGCACATTAGCATCAGATGTTATAC